TAATAGAAAATGACCTTTTAATAGTTGGCCACTGTAGTGACCGTCATGCATGAAAGGGTTAATTGCACTCATTTGCACTGTTGCATAACATAGCTTCAAAACTTCAAGAACTAATGTACCCCCTCCACCCCCCGAGTGAAAGGACATTGGCGGTAGTGGCCCTTGAGACCCCTGCTTAAAAACATAGAGCTTGTGTTTGTGTCTTGAATAGCAGAAGGATAATTCAGCGGTCCCCAACCTTTTTTGGTACCAGGGATTGGTCGGCTGGTATCAGCCATTACAGCGGACCGGTAATACCACGGCATTGTTGAAGCATCAATACACTTTCAAAATAAAACATCTTTTCGTCTTTATTCTGTTGGTAACTTCTGAATGACCTATTGTTTTGAAACATTGCCAGAATATCTTTGAATGAAAACAGTCAAGTGATATGACGGGATTCGTTTTAGTAAAACTGAAGTCCAACTTTTCACTGTGGACCAGTACCAAATGACCTATGGACCAGCACTGGTCCCTGGACCTGGGGTTGGGGATCCTTGGACTATCCCTGCTGGGCTTTCTCTGGTGGGGGTGTGGGAGGGTTAATTTGTTTTATTTTCACATCTGTTAATATGGGCAGGTGCGCTCTCACCTACCACACCACACCACCCCCCCCAAAAAAAAGCTTTACCAATACACCATGTTTCACTGATAAAATTGGGCTCCTTGGTAAAATACACAGAACACTTGTGCAAGTAAAGCCAAAAACATCATAATAGTCAAACACTGTCAATGCTGTACCTGTAAAAATTTATATTGTATATATATTGTATATGTATATATATTTATACCCCCCCATATATATATATATATACACCTATCAAATATATGTATATACACATACATATGTACACATATACATATTTATATAAGGGTTGTTAGGGTACGAAAAGCCACACTCCGGTATGTACCTCAGTACTGACATATCGGTTTGTTATAATTCCATTACAAAAAGAAAAACGGGGGAAACAAAAAATTTTAGTTTTTGCTATATACCATCAAATTACAGTTAACACTTGCAGGACTTGTCTGTGCTATCGGCTAATGAATGTACAGCTGCTGGAAGCAACAGGATGATCCGAGTGTGCTGCGATAAGTTGAACTTCTCCTCTACGTTAACAAAACTACCCTCAATGCAGTTTGAAAACATCCGGTTACGCATGTATAACGAAAAGTTCTGTGATACATGTGCGTATTTCTTTCTAAAGTCCTGTACCGCACGGTTTAGTATGAGTACACAGACTGTTCCAGCCCTTGTATATTTTACATAAACCCCCAAACAAGTAAGTACACTTTCTAAATGTGCGCTAATTTCTTTTCTTTGGCATGGACTTTCAAATGCGATGACTGCAACATGTGAAAATACGTCCAACATGGGCAACGTAGGAAACGTCAAAAAAAAAAAAAAAAAATTTTAAAGGCCAAATTCACCAAAAACGACTCTGGCCCGGGACGAGATGTTAATGAGAAATACAATTTTACCTAGAGGATTTAAAAAAAAAAAGAATTAGCTATGAAATGAAAAAAAAAAAGAGTTTACAATGAGGTTGCAGTACAGCATTAAGCATCCTATTTGTTTTTTTGGATTGAACATCGAAGACTTACAGGTATATGTGCATTATTAAAATACATATGCTTTTGTTAAGGTTTTAGAAAGTGTATTATTTGTGAGGGAGGGGTTTGTATGTTTTCGACTTATTAGTCTTGCAAAACCACACCACACTTTCAAAAGATACGTAAAGTATTTACACAACTGTTGCATTCACAAATGCCTCCGAAATATGTCAGGTCTCGTCAATGTGGAGAAGGGCGACGTAACACTTGTTCCTTACTTAATAGTTTTAACATCTCACCACACGGATGAGCGATGACGATGTGAGGTAAATGATAACACTATTGAACTTTACATACAACTTACAATAACCGTACGTATGTATCAGGTAATTCATGAAACTAGGGTGCAGCATTTCTTTTGTGATTAGAATTGTTGTACAATGTGCAGTCCTAAAAGGTCAAGTTTACTTAAAGATTGTGGATAT